AAATAGTGATCATACTATTCCCTACCTCACAGGTTTGTTATGAAGATTAAACATCAGTATCAGCATATGTAAAGCACTTAGAACAGTGCCTGGCACAGAGTAAGTATTCAGCAAATATTCTCTATTAATATTATTATTTATTCTCTCTTCTCTTCTACATCCAAGGAACCACCCACTCACAGCTGTGGAGGTCTCTATACTTAGGACAGAGGGATAGGGAAAGTAATGGGGGGGGTTGCCAAAACATACTTCCTGTTGGATCCTACACCATGAAGAAATGGATTTCTGCCGGGTTATAAAAGCATGAATGTGATAAATGTGACATCTGATCGGCCTCACACCAGCAAGGGAGAAAACCAAAAATCAGAGTGAATGCTCAGTTTGTACATGATCCAGAACAGAAATATCAGACAATTAATAAAACTTTATCTGAGAATAAATTGCTCCTAGGTAGAAGAATCCACACTGTAGGAAACTTATAACTGATTTCCACTCATTAGGAGTACTGACTGAGCTTTTATACATATAACACAGTCCTGGAAAGTTACTTTCTTGGGCATGATCTAAGCTATCATCATCACACTCATATCAACTTTGTTTCTGAATATTATTTTGTAATTCACTCTAACAAACAGGTCACCTTACAGATCAGGGTAGTATTTGCATATGTCATAATAAAATTAATTCTAGTGTATTAGTGACACTGGGTCAGTTTTGGGGTTTGGGTATTTTTTTTTAATTTTTTGGTCATATCATACACACACTTTGGGGAACTGCTTTTGTTAAAATGATATTGAATGATTTGTTTTATGAATGAAGGAAAACATAGTAGCAATCAATTCATTTCGCTATAGAATTAGTAAACAGTACTTTTTCCACCAGCCCTTTGTCTCTTCTTTATTTTAAAATTATATCAAAGACCTATTTCTGTTTACTTCAAAATGAATCATCCCACATGAGTTAATATATGGTAGCCATAAGTTTCTGAAATACTTAGCATTCTATTTGAGCTCTAGAACATCTGGCCATAATGCTTCTCATGGGACTTTTCACTGGAGTTCCAAATTCCCCCTTTCTCATCTCCCCATGTTTCTAGTCATAGAATTATTGTACATCCACTGATACTACTCTTACCCTTATATCCATACATGATTCCAACTGTTTCTCAGGACAGCTACGATAGATCCATAAATTGATACCCAGGTAGTTCAATCAATTAGAGGCTCTGGGAACACGCGTCAGGTTTGTGCCTATCTTCAGCATGATAGCATCACTTATCCACATTAGTTCTTCTTCTTCTCTCCAAATTATTTATAAGCCTTTGGTCAACTTGAAAAAATCCACATTTTCATCTCATGCCTGCTAATCATGCTTTAAATGATGACTATCAAAGATGCAAATTAATTGCAAGCCATACGAAGGATGCACAAATTAAAATCTATGAAATTTAAATTTAAATTAAATTATTAATGCAGTAGTAATTCAGCTTTCAGGTTCCCTCTGCAATCCCTAACAGTTTCACCTATTTTACATTGCTCAATGCAAATTACTTTGGTTAATTTAAACAGAAAGGGACACCAGATTTTATGACTTTCTTCCCCTCCTAACTTTTCGATCCCCTTCCCCCCTTCCTTCTACTGTGTACTTCGTCTCTGTTTTGAACCTACTCTTTCATTTCTGCTTAACTTCAGCCCCACATCACCACCAGATCTCAAGTATACACTATTCTGCTTTAATATGTCATTCTTAATATTTTGAATTTTACATCCCACCAGTCTATTCAAAGAATCTGAATCAGTTTCACCATGGAAAAAACCAAAGCCTATTTTTCCCAAGGGCGTTTGCAGTATTGTGTTTTATGTGATCATACACAAAAAGTTTAAGAATACACACAATTTTAGTGGTATTATTGAGAGTAACTGTTGGAAATACTTCTGCATCCACTATGTAGTTGAACACAGCAAATGAAAGTAGCCAAATCTTCCAAATGCATCACATGAAAAAGAGCCTAGTTAAGTGAAAAAAGTTTTCAGATTAAAACTAATAGATTTAACTGAAGTTTCCAGACTAGTAAAGTTCAGCTTTACTTGCATGTGTCTCCCATTAACAGAGCCCATCTTGGGCTTCAGTGCATAATTAACAATATTATTATTAAAATAAATTGTGTAATATTTCTAATTAATAACTAGTTTAATTGAAGTATAAGACAGTTTACCAACTTGCCCCAAACAAAGATGGGCATAAGTTTATCAAAAAGTAACAAACTAATAAAGGAAACCACTTGAATAAGATGTCTCTTTAGCTTCCCAGATAAAAATGTCACAGATTTCTCCAAGCACAACTCAACAAATTCTAAATCTTGGCTTTATTGTATTTACATAAAATGTTTTTAAGTAGCATATGTAAATATTCTTAGTAGTAACTGAACTCAAGTGCACACATGGTTAGCAAAATCATTTCAGGGTAAAAAAAAAAAATGTCATGGATGTTTACCTGGCAAGGCTGTTTCATTTTAATGGCTATGACATGGTATCTGTAACAGCAGAGCTCACAGGTCCAGGAACCCCTCTCGCTGATCCACTTCAGCAGGCACAGCTGATGTGTATACCGAACTGACCCATCACAGCGGCAGGGGTTTAACAATTCCCCCTGAAAAGAACACAGCCCATGTGAATATTTATGCTCATGTCTCTATTAAAAAAAAACAAAACAAAAAACTAACCCTTGCTTTCTTTTCTTTCAAAGCCATTTACCCGGAAGCATACAAGCATCAAACTATCCGAGAAAATAAAATTAAATTTTTATGCCTCTGATGGGAATGAAACTGAAGTCTTAAAACTATTTCAAAGGTATTGCTGAGAGTTATGACATAAATGTTCTACCAACATACAAAATGTCTGCAAGATATAGCTCCCAATACCCTTGGGGGAAATCTGTACTATGAAATCTCTTTAATAACTTCTAAGTGGATGGTCAGATGCATTTCCTCTGCAGTTATTCTTAATCATCGCTAAAGAAGAAATGCATGGCATCCCAGAAAGTAGCTTGCAGTAGCATTATGCTTTTATTTTTTTCTAAATGTAGCATCATAAATATTGACTTAGGGCACTATATTCCTGAAAGCCTGCATATTCTTACACAATTTCCTTACCTTTAAAAATATTAAACCTAATGTTTTCTCAGACCACATTTTGTAAGAGATAAGTTATCCTGTTGTCTCCATGATTACTCTCATATAAGTTTGCATGCACCTCTAATGGAGTTTTTAATTTAGTTTTTAATTTATGTTTCTAACAAAACACAAAATACATTGTTAGCTAAATAGGCTTTCTTTCACAAGGTCAAAATACATTCCTATTTCTCTTGTAAAAACTTTAACACGCTCTTCACATCAGTGAGATTAAGTCAACATAACTTGCAATATGTAAAGACCCTGCCCTTTTTGGTTTTGGCATGACTCATCCCCAGTTTGTATTCTAAGACTATCTACCTCAGGATACATTTGTAGAAAAGGGGACATAGGTTTGTTTCTAAAATCCATTTAGCAATTCACAAAAGAGATACTTAGGGCATGATCTTGAAAGCACCTGAGGAATGCGTAACTGCAAAACCAGGTAGGAAAAAAAAAATAAGTGTAGATCAAATTAAACCCTGCATTCGCCACCGGGACATTTTCATCTGCCTTCACAGCAAGGGAAAAGGGAACCCAAGTAGCAGTCGCTCAGTTGGCCGGACCAGACTAGCGGGGTGGCAAGGAAGGGGGAGGCGAGCTCTGTCCGTGGTGCTGAAAGGTCGATCCTCCCGAGCAGGAGCGGGTCCAGTCCCGACCAGAGCCCACCGCCAGCTGCTCCGAGGTCTCCCGGGGCCTTACCTGCTCCGCGCCCTGGAAGCAGATCTTGCAGATGGGCTGGTGGTGCTGGTGCTGGTGCCCGGCGCGCTGGTCGCCACCACCGCTGCTGCTGCTGCGGCTGCTACACACCGAGCGTGTCTCGGGCTGGTCGCCGGCGCCCCGCCGCTCGCCCTCCCCGCCCGCACCGGCCTCAGACTCCCCGGGGACGCCCTTCCCCGCCGCCGCCGCCTCAGGGACCGCCGCCTCCGGAAGGCGCCTCGGACCTTCCCTGGAGTCGCCAGCCGCCGACACCTCCTGGCCGGCGGGCGGCAGGGGCACCGGCGGCGGCGGCAGCTCGTCCGCGCCCCGGCGCCGCGGGACCACCTCCTTCGGCGGTTCGTCTGGTCCCGCGGCGCGCTCGGGGGACGCGGGCGGCGCGGGCAGCGGTGGCAGGTAGCGTGGGGCCGCGGGGACCGAGGCCGGCTCTCCCGGCGGCGGCGGCGACGGCGGTGGCGGCGGCGGCGGCGACGGGGGCGGCTCGGTGTCCCCACTCTCCGCCCCGCGGCGCAGACTGCCGCTGAGGCCGCCCTCAAAGCTCATGGTGGTGTCGCTGCCGCCCTCCTGTCAGCCCAGCTGGCGGGCCGGGCTCGGGCAGTAGCCGAAGGGAGAACGGAGGGGGCGGGAGGACAGAGGGAGGAGTGCAGGGAGGGAGTAGGGTGGGAAGGGGGACCGGGGCGCCAGGGGCTGGGGGGCGGGACGGGGAGGGGACGCGGAAGACCCGGCGGCGGCGGCAGTAGCGGCTGCTCCGCGGAGCCGCCGGCTCGGCTCTGATGGAGGCGGCGCCGAATTCGGCTGCGCGTGAGAGCCGCGCCGCGGGGGGGCGGGGGGGGCGGGAAGGGGGCGGGAGGCGGTTGATGGGGAGGGGAACCGGAGCAGAGCCGCTGGGGGGTGGTGGGCGGGGGAAGGAGGTGGAGGGAGCTGGCGCGGGGCCGACGGGGAGGAGCGGAGGGGGCGTTCCGGGGTGGGGGGGATGTGGAGGCAGCGGGTGCGAACCCTGGCTGGGGTGCGGAGACCTCAGGCCGGAATTCAGGGAGGGGAGATCCCCGAGCCACCTCCGCGGACCCCGCCCCGGGGCAGCTCACGTCGGTTCCGGGGCGGACTACCCCTCTCCAAACGGCGCGGCACTGCGGCTCTCGGGAGTCTGGAGAGGGGGGAGGGGTCTGAGGCCATGGGTCCAGAAACCGTTACTGGGAAGGCAAGTGGGATGCGGCAGCGCGGGGCTGGGTGGGGCCGGGATGGTCGAACCCGAGACCCGCGTGGGAGTTGGGGTCTCAGGCTGGTGCCCTGGGCTCGCTGGAGCCGGCTGAGCAGGGGTCAGGAAAAGGTGCGCGAGCCCTGGGCACTGTAACCACCACTGCCCGGCGATTGCTCCCAGCCCTCTCAGAACCTTGTCCCTCAAGGGCACTCTCATGGATCCACCAGAGCCCTAAAGACCGAAGTCTCTGGAACCTATAGCCTCCCTCTGTCCGTCTCGCCCCTGAATCTTCCCCGCGTCCTCCTCGCCCCCTCCCTCCTGCAGTGAGTGTCCGGCTTATTTGTAAATATCTTGGTGACATTGTTACTATCTTGGGTCATTTCCTGGAATGGTTCCTCCCAGTGAACCCTGGAGCCACGTTGTGTGCGGGTGATCACTTTCATCCTTGTCCTTTTATAAAGGGCTCGAATGACACCTCCCCTCCCAGAGAAGTGGCTGTGTCCTCGGGTCGTGATTTTAAGCACCCAAAGCCAGTTTTCTGTACCTCCACTCCGCAAAGCCTCTCTGGGACTGCTCTTTGGGCAGGGCAAATTTCCCCTGTTCTTCTCTGAAAATAAACTGCCATACCTGCAGGGAGCTGGATGGAAAAGAGTGCACATGCAGGGTGGTTTCCAAATCCATTCAGTGTAAACTCACGAAGCATTGGATTTATATAGTGCAATGTGCCTATCCAAATCAATGGTGATTTTCACTATTCTAACGATTTAACATCTTTGGCACAATCGACTCTCTCTGGGCAGGCATTTTGGGCTGTATTTCATAGCTGAAGACCCAGGATCAGATAGGCAAAGTAACTTGTTCAAGGTCACCAGACTATTAACAAAGAACTTTTGAGCTCCCTGACTTCAGATTTTCTGGCTCAAACACCCAGTGATTTTTTTTTTTTTCCAATCTTCTAGCATGTCTCCTAAAACAGTATGTTTGATGGTGCTGACTCCCATTACCTCTGAAACGACTGAGGTAAACTACCAGCTTAAATTAATTTGTCCATTACACATTTTAGCAGTACAAAGTATATATGGTTAAAAAAAAAAAAAACAGTCCCAGCTCTTTTGATATAAACTGGTTTGACTGCAAAGCAGAGAAAGAAGGTAGTAAAAAAGAGTTCAGAAATGCTTTGTCACACACAAATGGTCCTGAATGAAATAGTTCCCAGGAATGTCCTCTAACACTTAGCCCTCCTCAGACTAGCTTATTTTTGGTAGTAGAGTGGCAGGCAGCAAGCATATTTTTAAAATAATAATCCCTGAATGCTCTCGGAACTTATCATGTTGAAGAAATGTGGTTGTAAGATATGCTCTCATTTTCAGTCTGCACCTGTCAAACTGACATTGCCACGTTTGTATACTACCACAGTCTTATGGTAGTCAGAAGCCTTGATCCTAAGTTATTGAATTAAAAGCTATCTGAATTGTCTTTTAAAAAACCCCTAAATAATTCAATTTATAACAAGTAAATTTCTACCCAGTGTGATAAAGTCCATTATTATTTGAAGGACAGCATAAAAGCTGTGGATTCTGTATAAAAACAATGTGGAACAATTCAAACAGCAGAGTAGCATGGATAAAGGAGGAAAGAGCCACAGTGCTAGATGTGTCCTCTTGGTTGATTGTTTCTGAAAAATAATTTCAGTAAGAGAAAATTAACTTTCATTGATACAGTGAGCAGCCACATAAACACATTATTTTTTCCATTTTCTATGACCTTCCCTGAAAAAGGGAAATTTATTTGTTCGTGATCCTTCTTCAGTTAACTCAGTGAATCTTAGGTGGATCAAGGAAAAAATACCTTCGTAACTTTGAAACATTCTCTGCTGTAAAAATATAGAACATTGGGGAACACAGAAAGGATGAACCACTCTAGTTGCTGGCATCCAAGTGAAAGAGATGATAGAGACACAGACATCTGATAACATCAGGGCACCAGCAGCCACTGCCAGGCATCCAGTAGCCAAAATGCATCTACCAACTGAAAAATGAATGAGGGGAGAGGGAATTCTATCAATTTCAGCAAATACTGAAAGGCACATCCAACCTGCTTCAACCTATATAGAGAAGAAAGCTATAAATAACGTAACAAATGCTTGAAGTCTCCCTTATGTCTCCCTCCCCTCACGCACACGCAGAGTGATATGTACCCTTCACCAAAACAGGTCTTTCATTATGAAGTTGCAGACCCTTTAGATACCAGCAGTTTCTTGAGCTGAATCCAAGAATGAAGGAGAGATTAGGAGGGGACCAGGCAAGTATGTCCCAAAAAGTCACTTGGTGATATTAGTGGATATCTTAAGGAATTCTTTTTGAACTTCCCTTGTTACCACATCCTGAATCTGTCATCTCAGGTCACTTTAGGGATTTTAGATAGAAAACAATTCATGCTACACTTAGGTCAGAATGCTTTCAGAATGACCTTGAAGCTAGATTATGTGTGATGACCTTGAAATGCCCTTCAATAGGAGGGTTAGCCATAGGAGAGTTAGCCTGGAGAGCACTTCAGAATTGCTTTTCAATTCTTTTAAGTTAAATTCTTCAAGCTGTTCCACAATTGTACACTTGGCACCTTTGGGGTGCACTAATTTGTTTTAGGGGGTTTAGCTTTTCTTTCCTTCAAATTCCTTCTGTAGTGTTTATTTAAATCCTGACATTTAGTTTAAGATAGTCTTGCATTTTCACAAAATTATTTAATGGAGACATTTTTTTCTTTCCCAAACTGATGACAAATGTTTTTTAAGCCATAGACTATGCCATATTTGTAAATATAAATTCATAGCAAATATTCATTATACATATTAAATAATTTAGTGGTTAAAAGATGAATAAATATATGCAGGGACACATGGTAGTGGTTACATATTTTTGATATATATATATTTTTAGATATTATTTATTTATCTGACAGAGAGAGGCACAGTGAAAGAAGGAACACAAGCAGGGGGAGTGGGAGAGGGAGAAGCAGGCTTCCCACTGAGCAGGGAGCCCGATGCGGGGCTCGATCCCAAGACCCCTGGGATCATGACCTGAGCCGAAGGCAGACGCTTATTGACTGAGCCACCCGGGTGCCCCTAGTGGTTACATATTTTTGAAAAATGTTTTAGAGAATATTTACTTGGATGGGGTGCACTAATTTGTCTCTGTGGTCACTGAGTATAATACACAGAATTCTCAATTGCTTTCAAATATCTAAGAGAAAAGAAATGTTATAGAGCAATTAGGTTATGCTGTATGGGTGGGAGGGTGATTTTTTTAAAGAGGATAGTGAAGTGCAATCTGTGTATTGTGAGTATTCAGTGTAGAGTATAGCTTTGTTGTACATCCAGTACTAAAATAGTATCAGCATCCTACAACACAATGATGTGTGCAGAGCGGTCCACAATTTATATCTCCTAGTCTAACCTCTCCATTGAACTTCAGAATCACGAATCAAAGTGTCTTCTTGACTGCTCTAGTTAGATGCCAAAGAGTCATTTCAAACTAACCCAGTCCAAAAGCAAACAACATCCCAAACCTGCTCATTTCCCAATCTGCATTATGCTAGTGAGCTAGTCGTTTGTTCATCCAGTTACTTAAGCCAAAATCCTTGGAGTCATCCTTGACTTTAATTTTTCACATCAGACATTCAGTGTATCAAAAAATTCTTTCAGATGTACTTTCAAAATATACTCCAAATTTTACTACTACTTTTCACCACCCCACCATCCAATTCAAACTACCATCACGGTGCTCCAGGAAGATCAAAGTAGCCTCTCATCACCCTGCTTCTTACTCTTGAATCCATCCCCTCTAGCAGCAGGATGATCCAATTCAAATGTAAGCCCACCCCCCTACCCAGTACCCCCCAATGGCTTCCCATCATACTTTGTGCAATATCAAGAATCCTAGCATGCCCTACAAGTCTTCAGTCTAGCCTCTGGACACATCTCTAAGACATATCCATATCTTCCCTGCCACCCCACCCCCCTCCCTGTTATTCATTCCTACTACCCTGAGCTCCCAAGCTTATGATTTCCCAAGTACACTCCCTCTTCACTACTCTTTCCAGTCATTTTGGCTCGCTCTGTCACTTCACTCAGATCACTGCTCAGGGGCACCTCATCAGAAAGACCTTCCTTAAGCTTCCTATCGGAAATAGAATATTCCACCTCCATTTTAACTACAACCCTTGCCCAGTTTTCTTCTTTTTCATATCACTACTCAACATTATATGCCAGCTTACCTTGTATTGCACTTCACTGTGCTTCACAAATCTTGTGTTTTTTTACAAACTGAAGGGTTGTGGCAACCCTGCATTGAGCAAGTTTATTGGCATCATTTTTCCAACAGCATTAGCGTTTTTGTCACATTTTGGTCATTCTCACAGTATTTTGAACTTTTTTTTTTAAGATTTAATTTATTTATTTGTCAGAGAGAGAGAGAGAGCACAAGCAGGGGGCGCTGCAGGCAGAGGGAGAAGCAGGCTCCCCACTGAGCAAGGAGCCCAATGCGGGACTCTATCCCAGGACCCTGGGATCATGACCTGAGCCGAAGGCAGTCGCTTAACTAACTGAGCCACCCAGGCGTCCCTGAACTTTTTTTTAATCATTGTTATATTTGTCATGGTGATCAGTGATTACAACTCACTGAAAGCTCAGATGATGGTTAGCATTGTTGAGCAATAAAGTATTTTTTAATTAAGGTATGTACTTTTTTTTTAGACATAACACTATTGCATGCTTAATAGACCACAATATAGTGTAAACGTAACTATTATATGCACTGGGAAACCAAAAAACTCATTAGGCTTACTGTATTGTAATATTTGCTTTATTATGGTGGTCTGGAACCAAACCCACGATATCTCTGAGCTATGCCTGCATTTACATATTGTGTGTATTTTGTTTGCTTCCTTTCTTATCTAACATCTTCCACTGAAACACTGGCTCCATTGGAGACTTGTTCGCTGCTCTGTCCCCGGTGCCTAGAACAGTGCCTGGTCAGAGTAGTGTTCAGCCAATATTTATTGAACAAATAGATGAGTAATTCAGTCAATCAGGCAGGTAATCACTAACCGGCCTCTGCCTTTAAGGCACTGTGCATCTGTTAACCCTAGTTCCCAGGTAGGATTGCAATCTGTAGGTCAATGAAGGATATAGTGTAACATATAGCACATTTTTTTCATTGCTTAACCAAAATAACTAAAATTATGCTGTTCTCTTAGCAACTGGTAGCTAGTCATTTGCTATCATGTAGAAGTGAAATCAAAGTCTTGATTGACCTTTGATGGGGAACAGAATACACGATACCAAAATATGTCATTTTGGCATGTGTATTATTTTGGAGTGAAGGCAGTCAAGACCCAACAGATTCAAGAAAAACTTTTACCTCTCCCTTAACTACCTTAAGAATTTAGATAAGAGGCATGGCCCAGAAAGAGAACTATTACCAGAGGTAACTTTTTCTAAAAGTTAGGTGGCAAGGCAAACATCTAATTACAAAACATCTGCCCTTCATATTGTCCTGTGACTTACCCTCGTCCCTCCTGATGCCCGAAGCCCCTATTCCATTCCTTAGCTCAGGATGGTCTGTAAGCCACAACAGCATCACTTGCCTTTGGGTGTCCTGTTTTATGGGGCTCCCATACCTACATAATTAAATTTGTTTTTCTCCTATTAATCTGTCTCATCTTACTCTAATTAGGAGACCAGCCAGAAGAATCTAGAAGGGAAGAAGGGAAAATATTGCTTCCCCTACACCTTGATTTCACATTCAATGAAGATGTCAGAAATCTGAAAATGCATGCCACTGGCTTTAAAGGAAAGTGAAGGAATATGGGTGCATGGATCTCCATATCTGACCAATCTAATTGATCACTCATGATGCACCCCATGTGATTTTACACAACACTGTATTCTAGCATTTATCAATTCTACTCATAAGTTTGGTACCATACTTTCCTTCGAGTCTTTCTATCTCTGCCTCTTCCATCTCTCCATTGTTCTCTGTTCCTGTTGGCTCGTCCACTCTTGAAGGCTTCCAAATCTGAGCAGACTGGCCAGTCCTCCCTCTGCCCTTCTTAGGTGCCTTGATCCTCACTAACTCCTCTGACCTGTCATCTCTCCCAGAATCTGGTAGCTTCTCTGGACACTCAACAGATATTTAAACTCTGCATATAAAATCATCAAAGCTATGAGATAATTAGCTTCCTAATTTCTACCCAAAACCCTTCCTATACCTTCCCCCAATACTCTGAGACCTTCAAGACAATAAAATAATATATGAAGGGTATGTTTGATTTGTAAAGAGTCATAATGCATTTTAAAAATTATATTAAAAAAAACCCACATTATTTCCTTTCTTGGTCTTGCTACCTTGAAACTTGGTAATGCAGAAGGGATTTTTACCAGGCAAGTTGAAGGCAAAGAAATATGTTGAATTATTATGTACACTGAATATCCTAAACCTGACTGAGATCTGGAATGCAGTCGAATCAGCATAACCCCATAGGGCCACCCAAGCTTTTGAAGGACCTAGAATAAAGCCAGCCCTGATTCCCCTCAGCGGAAAATCATCTATTCTTATACCAAACTCACACGTTAAATTAGACAGATTTTTTTATGGCCTTTATCACATTATGCTTTGCATTGTGGTTAGGTATGCACTTATTTAGATTTTTTTCACTCTTGTGCTAGATTGTAAGCTACCTGGAATTCAAGTCTGTCTGTTTAAATGGACCTTTTCTCTAAGGCATGTACAATGATGGCTGATATTAGTGGGAACTCAATAAATGTGGATCAAATAAGTAAATATTAACTGAAATCTTATTTCAAAAGAAATATTATTTACTTTTTAAAAGTTTTTGATAGAGTTCCATAGATAACTTAAAGAGAGTTATGCTTCCATGATGTTTGGATGGAGAGCAGAAAATTAGTTTGCTAAACAGACAAACTCTTCTATGGATACCTTTATCAGAGTCCCTAAGGATCAATCCAAGATTAATAAGTACAGTGAGGGGCAGCCGGCTGGCTCAGTCACTAGAGCATGCGACTCTTGATCTTGAGGTTGTGAGTTTGAGCCCCAAATGGGGTGTAGAGATCACTTAAAAATAAAATCTTTTTAAAAATTAAAATAAAGAAATTAATGAAGTAAGTAAGTACAGTGAAACACCCATGTTTTTCTTCTCCCTTTCCCTGCCCACTCTCCCTCAGGATACTTCTCTTAACCACCTGGGCACCTGGTCAGTTTCACCACCATTCTGAGAAGAGCAGAGCCATGAAGCCAGAAACATACAAGGATGCTGTGCTGGAGCTTGGCTTCAACTGGGTACTGACCTGAGCCCTGGTTGTTCTACTCATAGAATCCTCGGCTCTCTCTTTCTTCTACAGGAGTACTTGTCTGCGCCTATTCCCCTTAGAGGGTCCTTGATCAGTCAAGAGGAGGAGGCAGCTCCATGTTTACACCAGATCACAAATTCCATGTCCCATCTCCAGCCCTACCCCAACCCACCCCTTTTCCAGACTTTAAAAGTTTCAGAAAATGACCGTGACTCAGTCTGGATCAAGAGCTGCTGACCAATCGCCAAATTTAAACTTCAACCGAATGACATGGTTGGTATGGCCAAACAGCAACTCCTCAAAGGAAGAGAAATGCTGTGTCCAGAGAAATGACTTCTTGACAGATAAAAACAGATACCAACCTTCTCCGCATCTTGGAATTTGACTTCTAGCCCATTTGATTTACAGTACTTGTCAGCGCCTTCCTCCTGTCCAACAGAACTCCCAAACTTAGCTGCTCCCAGCTAAGCCAACAAGATGACACTGCACTCCAAAAGATACTGAAAGGCAAAAACCAAGAGTTATAAACTGCAGCTATATACAAGGCTTCTTAAATGCAGGGAGCTTTGAACAGATGGACTACGTTAATATAATTAAAAAGTAATTTTTGATGCTATAAACATGAGCTCAGTATGCTGATGGGTGGGGGGATAAGTGGGTGGGGGAATTGGAGGGTCCCACAAATGACGAGCATGACCAAAAAAGGATTGAGTGCAAATCACAAAACATCATATTTTGGAAAATTAACAATTACCAAGGGACAGGTTTTTGTGTAATGGATTTTGAGAGATGGATGGGCCTGACCTCAAAAGAGCCATAGCCCAAATAAAAAAAATAGGCACATAGACATACACATTGGTATGCAAATTAAAAGTTATGGTAGATTAAAAGGACGATGGAAGTAGAGATATAAACAATTCTGCATGAGAAAGATGATTATCCCAAGAAAAAGTTTCTCAGAGCGGGTCATTTGAACCGGGCTTTGAAGGCTAGATAGGAGCGTGCCAGGTTTGCTTCCATCTCAGCAACTAACGAAATCAAGAGGCTAGAGAAGCTGCTGTGGATATCAGACTTAAATATGAGGACTGTAGAGACAAGGAAGGGGGATTGAGAATATGATTCAAGTTCCTAAGAAATAAAGGCAGTAATAAGCAGGATAAAAGTGAACCTACTACATACTAAAATACTGGAAGAGGAGCACTCCTTCTGTTGGAAAAATAATCACTATAGAAGAATTAAGACCATTTAATTACCAAGAAGTCACTATTCTACCAAATGCAACTTAGAACCACAAAATAAACAAATCAGCCTCCCGAAGACCACTGCAGCCCACCCCAGTCACATTTACTAATGCTTTTACTTTCCTATCAAGTGAAACCACTAGATCTGTTATATTTGATTTTAAATATAATCCTAATACCTATGCTTGATTTCCCTACGCACAGCAAATTACAAATAACACATTTAGAAATGTCAGCAGAGTAGGAGCTTTGTGAAACAACAGCTTACATTCCAGCTCTCCTCCCAAAGAAGCAGACCCAATAATTTAAAAATTTAGCAGTGGGGCACCTTGCTGGCTCAGTTGGAAGAGCATGTCACTCTTGATTCCAGGGTTGTGAGTTCCAGCCCCACGTTGGAGGTAAAGATTACTAAAAAAAAATAATAATAAACTGTTTTTTAAATAAGGTATAAAGATAAATAAATAAAAATTAAAATCTTAACAGTAAGAGTTCATTTAAGAGCAAACAGCCCTATATGCAGTTTACTAAGCCACTGGAGGTGCGTTTGCCTTGCAGCCTTGCATAATCACTGGTATTCATAATGAAGGGCATGAGTCTCCCAGAACAGGGGCCAGCCTGGGCAACCTGCAAAGAATGACGAGGCAGGTGTTCAGAAGATTTCCCTCCAATATTGTTAATTACAAATTTCTACCACTTAAAGTAACCAGATTAAGAAGTTGGGTTTTTTTTAAGATTTATTTATTTATTTGAGAGAGAGAGAGAGAGAGAGAGAGTATGGGGGAGGGGCAGAGGGAAAGGGAGAGAGTCTCAAGCCGACTCACAACCGGATGCAGGGCTTGATCTCAAGACCCTGAGATCATGACGTGAGCCAAAACCAAGAGTCGGATGCTTAACCTACTGTGCCACCCAGGCGCCCCTAAAAAGTTTTCTTAGACTCCTCTGGGCAGCCCTCTGTGCCCCCTCCCGAGTGGGCGGGGATCGCACAGGGCCCTCTTGAGCCGGGAGCACAGCGCCCTCCTCCTACTCTCTGCTTGTCTCTCTCCATCAGCAGATCATAAATTATTGAAGCGAGATCATTTATATACATATGAAATTTACGGTCTGCTCCCAGTGCTAAATACAAATGCATTGGTATGTAATGGGTAGCCAAAAGAATTTTATATAATGAACAAGAGAAATGAAGTGATTGTAGCACTTTTAAAGAAGATTTACGTTAACAATGAAGGAAACTTTGGGGCGCCTGGGTGGCTCAGGCGTTAAGCGTCTGCCTTCCGCTCATGAGGGTCATGATCCCAGGGTCCTGGGATCGAGCCCCGCATCTGGCTCCCTGCTCCGCGTGGCGGGGAGCTGCTTTTTGCGGGGGGGGGGGGCTGCTTCTCCCTCTCCCACTCCCCCTGCTTGTGTTTCCTCTGTCAAATAAATAAAATCTTTTAAAAAAAAAATGAAGGAACCTTTAACTACATGAACAATTCTCTTGCACTTACCAATGATAACTGAAATTGACTGATCATTTACTGGGTCAGGCACCGTTTCAAGCACTGAACATGTGTTAATTTATTTAATCTTCACCACAGTGCTTTGGAGCAGGTGCGATTATCCTCATTCTACTGATGGGGAAAGTAAGGCCAGAGATAGTGAGTGGTGGTGCCCATTCAGGCAGCTAGTAAGCCGCAGAGGCCGTCTGACTCCCAATCCCAGCCCCTGAACTACTCTGCTATATGCCTCCCATGCTATCTAATTCATAGCGGACCAAAAAAGAAATTTCTGCTGCTAGAGGTGACTAAGATCATCAGTGTAGCTTCACCACTAAAAAAAAAAAAAAAAAAAAAAAATCCTCCATGTTTACCCATGCTTTTACCCTCGGCTTCTGTGAGTTGGACGTTTCTGGATTCCATATACAAGTGAGATCATAAAATATTTGTTTTCCTCTGTCTGACTTATTTCACTTAGCATAATATCCTCAAAGTCTACCCATGTTGTTGCAACTGGCAGGATTTCTTTTTTTTTAAGGCTAAGTGATATTCTATTGCATATATAGGTCACATTTTCTCCATCCATTTATATATCTCAGCTATCGTAAATAATGCTGCAGTGAACATGGGAGTGTAGTGTTAAAAGATACACAGAGGCATATTAAAAAATGTTGAGTTTGAGCAAAAATCAATACTGATCTAGTAGCACCCAATCCAGCAGATAAAAAGGAGCTCCGAGAGGCTGTATGAAATGAAAGACTGACAGGCAGACGAGAGCAGGAGCAAGAAAAGTTAGACTGGTCAAAAAAGTAGGTTCATTATTGCAAGGTCACTTTCCCTCAGCTGGCAGGGGTCTATAAGGCAGATGGCAGGGGTCTACAAGGCAGATGACCTGACTGGTGCTGATCAGGAGATTCCTGATTGACAGGTTTAAGATTCCATTTCTGGGAGAACAGAAATCACAATTAAGTTTTGGATTGTGATGTGGTGTTTAGCGTAAGCGACTCCTTTTGGGGCCTGATGTCTTGTTTTTAACAGAGGTAAACTTGACCTTCATCCACATTTTCACATCTCTGCTCCTGAGTATCAGGGAGTGTTAGGGTAGGGTGCTGGGGAGGTGGGGGGTGTTACATGCCTGACCTTTTGAGGTTGATAGAATGAAGTATCATGGCCATACTCTTTCAAAATTGCGTTTTGATGCCAGTGGCAGAGAGAAAATAACAGAAATGAAGGGTCATTGAGTTGAGTAAGTATGATACTTCCTAGGCTCTTACCTATGTACTGCCTGAACAAAATATCTGGGTGTGAAAGGCTTATTCACTTTCATGTTTCAGAGAATAATTCACTTATACATCATGATTGAAAAATGGCAACACAAGCCTAAAACTCACCCTAATTCTGTGGTTCTCCATAGGGAGAAACTTTGCCCACTTGTATCTTCCATCCCTATGGGATATTTGTCCAGTCTGGAAACTCGGGAACCTGCTTTTAGACAACTGGCTTGAGCAATGGAAACTCAATCAAGGCAAAAGGGCCCACAGTGACCCCTGAGCTGAATATAGACAGGCCCATCAGGCAACCCACCCCAAATATCCATAGGCCCTAACTAACCAAGGGATTACTTACAGGCACAGGCACCAAAAAAAAAGAAAAAAGAAAGAAAGAAAGAAAGAAAAGAAAATTGCATGCATCCCCATACCTCTTCACCTTCCTGCTTTAGATGAGGCCCCCACCCACTGCCTCCTAGCAGACAGCTTCTCCCCTGCTGTCCTGCCCACCAGCCCCTTGCAGTGGATTCAATAAACTTCTAGCTCCTTTGTTCTGCCTTGGGTGAATCCTTTCATCACCCTTGCTGCTCGCTTCCACCCTATTGGGTCGCCCCACATTTTGGGGCCCCTGTCCGATTGGGAGAGATACCACAGAGACATGTTGGGGTGTCACAATCAGCAGGCAGTGCTTCTGGAAAGGAGTTGGGTAGAGACCATGGTGCTGCTGAATCACCGACCATACACAGAACAGCTCCCTCAGAAAAAGCCGTCTGGCCCCAGACGTCAATAATGCCAAGGTCCCACCCCAAATAATTGCAAAACTCTTCTGAAAACATTAGTATAGGAGAAATAGTTAAAATTTTAAAAGCAACACTGAAAAAGAAATTATAAACTACACAAAGAAGGATATTCTGAAAAGTTGCAGAGGAAAGTAAAAAAAACAAGAAGTTAAATATTAAAGTTTCTTATTTTTTTTAATTTGAAAGAAATAGAAACAATTAGGGAAGAAGGACAAGGTCCAAAGACTAGACCAGCAATGCATAATACAAGAACACATGCTTAAGGAGCTAATTTAAAATAGATTGAAAGTAATGTATGTGCGAAAGGTTAATTCCTCACAAACTGGTGAGAGTCACTTTTGGCCTATTTTTCATCTTTTCCAGTGAACAAACCTCCCACTGATTTCAAAGAATATTTTGGTTTTGACATTAGCTTTAAGGAAGCTAAAAGTTAGACGTGAAGAATTAGGAACTCACAATAATTTAGACTTCAAAACTCTGAAAATAGAGGGACATGCTTAGCTAATTTATGCTGAAATTCATGTACTAAACAATAAATATTTTGATGAAAGCAATAGGAAAGACCCTGTATTTCTAGGAGAGGCAGTAGTAACAAAAAGGAAAAAATCCACTGGTAGAGGAAAAGGTAATCCTCATAAAGTGGGTTTAAAAACTAAAACACTCAGAAGACATCTCTAATCATCAGACGTCATGTTAGTAACTCTTAAGACAAAAAGAAAAAAAAATGTAATAACATGGATTATATTTTTTCAGATTTTTTATAAGAAAGGGGAGCCAAACATGCCACCCCAAAATATGCCTCTTTGGCCTAAAGATTATCTTAAA